TCTTGTGGGCATAAAGGGAGCCCCAGGTTGGAGGAAGGCGCCTCTTGGAGGCCAGGGCTCCCCAGAGGAGAGGAGCCAGGAGGGGCTGGGCCGAGTGTTGCTGTGGGCCTAGGTCACGGTGCACCCGCTGGGGCAAAGGGCCCCAGCTGGAATTTGGCTGGGAGGGGCCGGCCAGGTGTGCTGCCTCCCCAGGCCCCAGGCAGGTGGCGGAGCCGGCCCGCCCTTCTCCCCACCCCCTCGCCTAAGGGTGGCAGATAGGCAGGCCCGGGCCGGCGGGCTGCTGAGTCAGTTTGCGAGGAATGTTCGGGCACTCCCAGACACACCCCGAGCCTGCCGGCCCCGCCGCGCCCTCCCAGGTGCCTTGGCCCTGAGCCCGCAGTGCCAGGAACGTACCTTCAGCCCGAGCTTGCTCAGACCGGCTCCCGCCGGCTGCAACCCTGCTCCTCAGTCCCCCGCTCCCCCATGACCCCATTGAGCCCTGACCCTATGGAGCCCCCTTCGCTGTGCTCTCAGGGGCCCAGGGCTGGCCCACATGTGTGAACAGCTCCTCCTGTGTGACATGCAGACGGGTGGATAAGGGGTCCTCCAGGCAACCACAGCTGGGATCCAGGGGTTCCTGCAGGAGGAGGCCCTGGGATGAGAGGGTCTGCAGGGAGGCCCAGGGGGGCCCAGCCTACGTGGCCAGGGCTGGGGGCCGGGGAGGTGGCCAGGGGGCCAGGCCTGTGGCAGCTAAGCTGGCGCTTTGGCCAAAGCCCAGGGCCTCCCCTGGTTGGCTCCACTCATAACCATCCCCCCGGCCACCCCGGGCTGCTTCCCTGCCTGGCCCACCAGGACTGGCTGCTGCTGGAAGACGGGGTGGTGGGCAGAGGCCCGAGGGCCACCCCCACAGGTGACCCGGCCGCCCTGGCCATCTCCTCCAGGCCAGCAGGGTGGGGCGATGGGGCATCCCGCAGGCCCCCACAGTGCCCCGGCCCCCATGGGCACCTCGGCTGCACCCGGGCTCCTTCCAGACCTCGTTGCCAGGAGTCCCTGTGAGTTGTGGGGCCCAGGAGGGGCCTGGGGCCGGCCGGGCTGGGTGGCGGCAGTGCTGTCCACAGGGGCATTTCGGGCCCATCTCTGCGCCCACCCCAGGGCCCCGATGGGCACAGGTGGCCGTCGCTGTCGCCGCCGCCATCCTCGCTGCTTCCTGCCTCCTCTGCGTCGTCTGCTGCTGCCGTCGCCGAGCCCGCAGGAGGAAGCCCCGGGACAAAGAGGCCATGGGCCTGGGTAGTGTCCCGGGCGCCACCACCACCCACGTGGTGAGGAGGGGCCCCGGGGCTCCCGTGCCCAGCACCTGGCCAGCTCTGTCCCAGATCTCAGTCTAGGTCAGGGGCTCAGGGGTTCAGGACAAGCTCAGCCCCCCCAGCAGCAGGTGTGCCCAGCAGAGGAGGCCAGAGGGCCTTCCTGGTGGGGGAGGCAGGGAGTAGGGGGGAGGGGGAGGCAGGGACAGAGAGGCGGGAGTGCCAGCCCCAGCTGGGCCCTGCACCGGGGCGGCCACAGCACGTTCTGAGGAGGCAGGGGTACCAGGGACCGGCTGGGGCAGGGCCACCGTGCTGGCTGGTCAGCTGAGCTGAGGGTGGACTCTCTGGTGGCCTGGTCCAGGGTGGGCGGTCAGGGTTCTGACGAGGGTTCGGTCCCAACAGCCCCGGCCACCATGCCTGCCCACTCCAGGTGCAGCCAGAGGTGGACGACATGGGGTCCGGCCTGGGGGGAGGCCCGCAGTGGGGGCGCCTGTAGCTCTCCCTGGAGTATGACTCTGGGAGCCAGGAGGTGAGGGCCCTGGAGGCTCCGTGGGCTCGGAGGGGGGCCAGGTGCGGGGCTGACCCCGGGCCCCCGGCTGAGTCACCCTCGGCTCCCAGATCCGGGTGGGCCTCAAGCAGGCAGCGGACCTGAGGGCCGGGAGCCCAGGGGGCACGGCGGACCCCTACGCCTGCGTCAGCCTGTCCCGCCAGCCCGGGCACAGACACGAGACCGGGTGCACCGCGGCACACTCTGCCCCGTGTTCGAGGAGACCTGCCGCTTCCGCGTGAGCCTGGCAGTGGGCGAGGGGGCGGGCGGGGCGGGCGGGGCTGGGCGCGGCTCACACCCCGCCTGCAGGTGCCGCTGGCGGAGCTGCCCCAGACCACCTGCGGGTGCAGGTGCTGGACTTCCGGCGCGCCTCCGGGCACCAGCCGCTGGGCGAGCTCCGCCTGCCGCTGGGCACCCTGGACCTGCAGCACGTCCTGGAAGTCTGGCGCCCGCTGGGGCCCCCGGGCACTGTCGAGGTAAGGGTGCTGACCCCCCCCCCCCCCGGCTTTGGCCCGGGCCTGCCTGGGGTGCCAGCGGCGGGGAGACCCAGGCCCCTGTCGCGCCCACAGGCTGAGCAGATGGGGGAGCTGTGCTGCTTGCTGCAGTACGTGCCTGGCTCGGGCCGGCTGACAGTGGTCGTCCTGGAGGCCCGGGGCCTGAGCCTGGGGCTGGCAGGTGAGAGCTCCCCTCCGCATCCCCTCGCGAGGGGCACAGGGCTTGGCGGTCAGGCCCGGGACCCCCGCGGCCCCCCTCCGCCCGCCCAGAGCCCTACGTGAAGGTCCAGCTCCTGCTGAACCAGAGGAAGTGGAAGATGAGAAGGACGTCCGCCCGGAAGGGCACGGCCGCCCCCTACTTCAACGAGGCCTTCACCTTCCTTGTGCCGCTGAGCCAGATCCAGGTGGGCTGCCTGGAGGAGGGGGCCGGTCCTCCCAGGGGCCATGCTGACCGCTGCCTCCTAGTTCCCCTCCCGCCTGTCTCCTCTGCTCAGAGCGTGGACCTGGTGCTGGCCGTCTGGGCCCGGGGCTCGTGGCTCCGAGCTGAGCCCGTGGGCAAGGTGGCGCTGGGAGCCCGGGCCTCGGGCCAGCCCCTGCGGCACTGGGCGGACATGCTGGCCCAGGCCCGGCGGCCCGTCGCCCAGTGGCACCGCCTGCGCCTGCCGGGGAGGTGGACCAGGCCCTGGGCCTGAGGCCCCGCCGGCGCCTGCCCCTGCCCGGCTCCTGACAGCACCCTGAGCCTCCATCTCCCGCCCTGAGCTGTGGGCCCGTCCCGGCCACGGGGTGGGGGCTGCAATAAACGCTGCTTCCACCACCTCCTGTGCCTTCCTGTGCCTGGGGCAACGTGGGGAGCACCTCCGAGGGCGAGAAGGAGAAGGCCCCTCCAGACTCACCCAGCCCTGCGGCCTCTGGGGGTGATGAGGGGCCCCTCTACCCCAACGAGCACAACACCGGAGCAGGGAGCCCTCCTGCCTGGGGTTCAGCGTGAGGGACAGTGTGTGTGAGGCAGGAGGGCTGGAGGGGGCCACAGGGTGTGGTGGGCAGGAGGGGGCATTTGAGGGGCGCTGCGGGAAGAAAGGGACCCACCCCCGGGGCCCGGCACAGCTCTCTCGGCCCCGAACCTCGGAGTGGCGGCTGCAGGGCTGCCCCACGCGAGCAGCAGGGGGCAGTAGAAGCCTTCGGAAGCCTCCCAGGGTCTCAGGGGGCTCAGCCTGGCGGGAAAGATGCAGCTCTAATCCCCCACATCTGGGGCTTCGGCTCTGCCTGACCCTCCCCACGCCCCGAGCGGGGGCCGCTCCCCCGGCTCAGAGGCAGCCAAGTCCGGGGCCTCCGGATGCCTGAGCTGGGTGGGGGCTGCCTGGGCCCCAGCCAGGAGGGGAGAGCGTTCCAGGCGGGGGCCCACCGCCCCTCTGGCAGGGAGTGTTCGAGCTGTGGGAGCACAGCGCTGGGTGGGGCGCCCCTGCTTGGCTGCACATCCAGGGCGACCCCGTGCCTGCTGCAGGCGGGAAGCCGGGTTCATGTCCCCGCCCGAGACCCCAGGAGCTGCTGCAGGCCCAGAGGCCCGTTTGGGGTCCGGGCCTGGCTTCAGAGCTGGGCTGGGGGAAGGGGGGCCTGGCCAGCGTGTGGCAGCCATGCCCGGGGCTGGAAGGGGAGCTGCTGGGGAGGTGGCAGAGGGGGGTGCGGGGGGAGGCCGGGGGGACACTGTGCTGTAGACCCCCACTTAGGACGGGGGCCCGAGTCCCAGGGCCCCTCGGCTGACCCTGAGCCATGCCCCCCCAGGCCTCACGCAGCTGCCCGCAGGTCCTTGCAAGAACAGGAGCTTCTCGGACTCGTCACTGATCCCTAAATAGAGCAACCCAACCTCGGCACACCCCCCCCCCTCAAGACTTCTTGGACTGGAGGGAGCATGTGGCTGAGCCGGCCAGGCGGCCGGGCGGGTGGGGAGGGCCCTGCGCCCCCATTGGTCTGAGGAGGGCTCCATGTCCTTTCTGAGCGGGGGCCCAGCCTGGGGAGGACATTTATACCCCTCCCGTGCCCACCCGCCAGGCGACACCGCCAGCCGACCTGCTCCCCGCTCGCGCAGCCGACGCTAGGTGAGGCACGGGCGGCTCGTCCCCGCGCCGAGGCACCTGCCCGCCCGGCCGACCTGCGGGATGCCCCTGGCTGGGGGGCCGGCACCGGGGACCCGGCCAGCAGCCCTCTGTGGGGCCTTGCTAGGGACTGGGGGTGCGACGGAGACGCAGGGGGAGGTGGGCGTGGCGGGAGGGGCAGGGGGCCTGGACGGGCCTCGAGGACTAGGCCTTGGTTTCGGACGTGGTGGGAAGGGGTCTCTGTGCGTCAGGGACCCAGGCTGAACCGGGGAGCAGCCTCCCCAGGCAGGCACTTGGGCCCAAGGCCGAAGGAGCAGAGCTAAAATTAGCAGGAGCACCTGCCCGGTGCCCGCCCCGCCCGCGGGGACAGCTGCCCGCCCTCCCGCCCGCCAGGGACTTTCTGGGACATTCTCCTCGCTCTGCTCCCAGGGAATTCCAAGATGATCTCTTCCCCCCGCCACCCCCCAGGAGGCTGGAGTTGGGGGCGGGGCAGCAGGGGGCCGGGTGAAGGTGAGGTGCTGTCCCCCACAGTCTGAGGCCCTGACACCCCATCTTTCTCTCCCACAGGCTCTAAGCCCAGGACTTCAAGATGGGGGAGTAAGTGAAGTCCCCAACCCCAATGCCCCTGCCACCCCCTCCTCCCACCCCCAGGCGGGGCCTCTGCCCGCCCGGCCTTGCTGTTTCGTCCCCCCCACCCCGACCCCATCACAGACCCTAACCTCTCTCTTCTCTCCCCCCTCCCCGCTCGCCCACCCTCCTGGGACAGTGACGAGGTGAGTATCTCTTGAGGGTGAAACGCAGAGGGGATAGGAGCCTCCCCTCGCTCCCCCCCCCCGCCCCAACTGAGATAGGTCAGAGGTCAGAGTTTTAAGGTCCAGGAAGAAGGCCCCCACCCGCACCCCCGTCCCCGCAGACAGCGACACACACAGGAAGTGGCGGCTGTTGCCTCACTGGGAGGGGAAGTGGGCCTGCGGCCTGGTCACCCTGGAAATGGCTGCTTTTCTCCAATCACGACACCCACGCCCTGCCCTGCAGGCCCCACCCCGAGGCCCAGCCTGGTCTCCACACCCCGACGGGCCACCCGGGAGGCATCGGGAGCCCCCCAGGCCCAGCTGTACCCCGAGCAGGACCCCGGCTGGGTGGCGTGTGGGGAGGGATGAGGGTGGATGTGGGGAGCCCAGCCCTGACTCTGCCTCCTCTTCCCCGCCTTGCAGAAGCGAAACCGGGCCATGACGGCCCGCAGACAACACCTCAAGGTAGGTGCCCCCCCCCCGGGAGGCCGCGGGGGGGGTCCGCACCGGCCGGGCAGCCCCTCACTGCCCCCCTGCCCCTCCCCAGAGTGTGATGCTCCAGATCGCGGCCACGGAGCTGGAGAAGGAGGAGAGCCGCAAGGAGTCGGAGAAGCAGAACTACCTGTCGGAGCACTGCCCCCCGCTGCACCTCCCCGGCTCCACCGCCGAGCTGCAGGTACCCACCGCCCGCCCGCCTCGGTTTCCCCAGGGTCCCCGTGGGGATGGCCACTCACTGCCCCCGCTGCCCATCCCAGGAGCTCTGCAAGCAGCTGCACGCCAAGGTGGATGCGGCCGAGGAGGAGAAGTACGACATGGAGGTGAAGGTGCAGAAGAGCAGCAAGGAGGTGAGCGGCCGGCGCGCGGGCGCGGGCGCGGGGAGAGGGGTGGCAGGCACAGTGCGGCCTGGCCCTGCGGCTCCGGCCCAGCCCTCCGCTCCCCCCGCAGCTGGAGGACATGAACCAGAAGCTGTTCGACCTCCGCGGCAAGTTCAAGCGGCCGCCGCTGAGGAGGGTGCGCATGTCGGCCGACGCCATGCTGAAGGCGCTGCTGGGCTCGAAGCACAAGGTGTGCATGGACCTGCGGGCCAACCTGAAGCAGGTCAAGAAGGAGGACACGGAGAAGGTAGGCGCCCCTGTCCCCCGCCCCCTCCCCATCCCCGCCCCGAGCCCCTTCCCCGAGGGGAAACCGAGGCTGAGCCTCTGCCGCCCCACCCCCAGGAGCGGGACCTGCGGGACGTGGGCGACTGGAGGAAGAACATCGAGGAGAAGTCCGGCATGGAGGGCCGCAAGAAGATGTTCGAGTCCGAGTCCTAGGCCGGCCCCGGGCCCCCCACCCCCGGCCTCACGCTGGCGGGCACCCCGGCTGCGGGCAGGGCGGCAGGGGACGGGCCCTGGGAGCCGCCGGGAGGGCGGGCTCACCGCAGCTGTCAATAAAGGTCTCCAACCCTGTGACTGGTCTCTGCGGCCTCGTTGTGACCTCATCGCCCACTGGCCGGCCGCACCTCTGGGTGCTGCACCCCGGGAAGGCCCACTGGCTGGCCAGGAGCCAGTGCCCTCGGCTAGGTGCTAGGGGAGCTGGGGAGAGGGCACGAGGGAGCCATGCAGGGCCTCAGGAATGTCGGGCCAGACGGGGAAGGCCCTGAGAGCTGATTCCTTGGCCGGCTGCACCCAGGGCTGGGGCTGTTGTGCTCACAGCCAGTCCCCAGGGCTCCCGCTGGCTCTGGGCGACCCCCAGCCCTCGGTGGCTGATACGTCTGAGCAGTTCTCACAGGAGACCCTCGGCCGGTGTGCACGGCCATCACAGGGGTCCAGCTGCCCAGAGACCATCTGAATCCGTCACCCCAAGTCTAGGCCAGGGCCGTGGAGGGCATGTGCACTGTGGGCCACTCCCCTGAGACCCCACAGCCTCCCCCGGGGGACACCGTGCTGCAGCCCTGGGTCCGACGGCCCCCAAGATGGTTTATGCTAGGGGGTTCAGGCTCAGAGGGGCCGGGGTCCCAGCTCCCCACAAAGACAGGCCCGGCCAAGCCGGCCCCATGCAGGCCCAGCAGGCAGGCTGGGGCCCTTCTCTGCTCAGCCCCAGGTCCTGGCCCACCTCACACATCAAGGGGCCGTGTCCCTGAGGGCCGGATGAGGGCTGTCACGGCAAGGCCAAGGCTGTCAGCCTCCCGTGATGGATGGGGCGACAGCCCGCCCTCCAAGGTCCCTGTGCTCAGATCTCTGGGGGAGCCGGGGGGCCCTGCAGCCTGTGATGGAGGAGCTGTCGGCCGCCCCTGCCCCCCTGGAGGTCCTGGCGATTGATCTTCCGGGGCCGGAGATGGGGAGGGCGGCCGCCTTCAGCCTTGGCTGCCTCGCGGGACGGGGGCTGACGTCAGTGGCGCCCTGGCCTTCACCCGTCGTCCTCCCGCCTGCGGTGGCGGCCTGGGCCCCGCCGTGTCCTCTGAGCAGCTCCCACGGGCCCTGCCACCGGGGACCTGCGGCTCTGGCCGGTTTATCATCCCGGGGCCCGCTGACCGGACAGCGACTCCAGCTACTGCAGGGGAAGGCCAGGCCTCGGCGGCAGCCCTCACCCTCCCCGGGGCTGGGAAGCACGGTGACCGCAGCTTTCAGGCCTGGGAACCCAGGGAGATGTGTCTCTCAGGCCTCCGTCCCAGCACCATCTCCTCCTCAGAAAGGACCTGGCTCCCGGGAGGCTGGGAGCCGGGTGGGGGCAGAAGGTGCCCGGCCCGAGTGTCCTGGAGGCACTGAGTGGGCAACACGGCGAAAGTCAATCAAATAACTCGGATCCCATTGTGGAGTCAGGGGCTGAGCAATGACCTAGGAACTAGGAGGTCAGGATTCGATTCCCGGCAGGTCAGGGCACAGGCCTGGGTTGCAGGCTCCCTCCCCAGTGAGGGGTGTGCAGGAGGCAGCCGATCGATGACTCTCTGTCATCATGGATGTTGCTCTCTCCCTCTCCCTTCCTCTCTGAAATCAATAAAAACATTTTTTTTTAAAATAAATGAGAGCCGGTGACAAGGACATAGGGGAGGGTGTACAGAGGGCTCCGTGGGAAAGGGGCCGGCAGGCACACCTGTGGCTCAGGTGCCAGAGACTCTCCTTTTAGCAAACACAACAGCCACCTGCCGCCTGCTATCTCGGCCCAGCACCAGCTCCGTGGGGGACCCCTGGCCAATGCCCTGGGGCTTCTCTGACACCTGCTGTCCCGCTCCCTTCTCCCCGACCTCTCCAAGTCCCCCCCAGTGGATTCCTCAGGCCACCGTGGCCAGGGATCCTCTTCCTGGCTCAGGGGACGGGGGGCTGCCTGGTCTTGGGGGTGACGTCCCTGCCACGGCCCAGCTGCCAGGCTCGGCTGGATGGCACACGGCCCCAGGCCCCCACTTAAGACTGCAGAGCCCCTAGTCTGGCCCCTCCCCGCAGAGGAGGGCAGAAAAGGGTGGAAACAGACTCGGCGGGTCCCCTCGATCCTGTTTGTGCCCCCTAGGGGCCCCCCACGACCCAGAGCCTGGGGCACCATCTGTCCACATGGTTCGTTCTGGGCTCCTGAGGCAGAGAGTGGGGCAGGGAGTGGAGGGGGCCGTGGAGGAGCCACAGGGAGCCCTGAAGGGCTAAGGCGAGCAGAATGTGGGGCACTGTGTACAAGTCAGGGGTGCCAGCAGTGGCCGGGCATGGTGAGGAGGTGGGTCCAGCTCTGTGTGTACCCGGAAAATGTCTCTTAAAATAAATATATATATATATATCTCCTGTCCAATAAAAGAGTAATATGCAAATTGACCATCACTCCAACACGCAAGATGGCTGCCCCCATGTGGTCAAAGATCCTGCCCCCATGTGGATATAAGATGGCCGCCACAAGATGGCCAGCAGGAGAGGGCCATTAGGAGGGACCAGGCCTGCAAGAGAGGGCAGTTGGGGCAATCAAGCCTGCAGGGGAGGGCAGTTAGGGGCTATAATCAGGCTGACAGGAGAGCAGTTTGGCATCAACCAGACTGGCAGGCAGAAGCGGTTAGGGGTAATCAGGAAGGCAGGCAGGAGAGAAGTTGGGAGCCAGCAGTCCTAAATTGTGAGAGGGATGTCCAGTGGGATTGGGTCTAAATGGGCAGTTTAACATCCCTTGAGGGGTCCCAGATTGGAGAGGGTGCAGGCTGGGCTGAGGGACACCCTACCCACCCCATGCATGAATTTCATGCACCAGGCCTCCAGTGTGTGTATATATAAGATGTCAGAGAGGAAGGGAGAGGGAGAGGGAGATAGAAATATCAGTGGTGAGAGAGAGACATGGATCGGCTGCCTCCTGCACTCCCCACACTGGGGATTCAGCCCACAACCTGGGCTTGTGCCCTGTCTGGGAATCCAACAGTGACCTCTTGGTACCTAAGTCAACATTCAGCCCCTGAGCGTGTGGCTGGGTCCATCCAGAAGATTTCACTGGGTGGTTAGATGCTGAGCGTGGGGCGTGGACCAGAACTGCGCCCGCCCTGGGGCTGGGACCAGGATGCACACAGGCCCTTCGGGGCCAGGGCTGCCCGGGAAGGGGGTTCCGGGAAGCGGGGCTCCTCGGCAGGCCCTGGGACTCTGGAGCACGCCAGGGTGCCCCAGCCTAGCACCCGTTTCCCCCCACCCCCCTGCCAGCCGCCTTCCTGGGCCTGTCCGCCAGGCCCCACGACTTGCTTCACTCTTCCTGGTGGCTGGTGGGTCCCTCCTGTTGCAGCATCAGACTGAAAACAACACCCAACCCCAGCCAAACCTCAACCTGCAGCGAAGGGGGAAGTGAAACCCGGGGCGGGGGGGGGGAGGGGGGGGGCTCAGCCGCCACCCCAGGAAGCGCCCAGAGCCGCGTACATAGCGGTCCCTGAGCACCAGCCATGGCGGAGGCGGCTGGCCAGCCCGGCTCTGAGGCGCAGGAGGAGCTGCTGGTGGAGGAAGAAGGCGCGGGGTAAGGGCATTGGGAGGTGTTTACGTGGGAGTAACGCTCCATCCCGAGGCCGACGGCCCTTGGGGCACGGTCCTGCGACCCGCCTGGGCAGCTGGGCCTCCCGGGAGAGGCCGAGAGGCTGGACGCTCACCCAGGCACAGGGAAGCAGACTGAGGCCGGGGCCCGCAGAGCTGGTGCTGGAGTGGGGGGAAGGGGGGCTGGCCTGGTCTGGCGGAGAGGGGCTGCTCACTGGGGACCCGCCGAGCCCATATGGGGCTCAGCAAGAGCCTCCTGGGGTGATTGCAGTCCCCAGCGGATGCGGCAGGACTGTTGGTTGGGGTGCAGTGTGAGGGCATGGGCAGAGGCTGTGTGTGGGGTGCTGGCAGAAGGGCCACCTGTGCCGTGGCTGCCCGCCACCCAGAGCTGGGCCAAGAATGTCCGCGGCCCCCAGGGAAGCACCTGTGCTTGCAGAGCCCTGGGCCCGGCCCGGGCAGAAGGATGGGGGTGGGGGGCACGGTCCAGGGCCTGTTGGGGTGGGGGGTGGGGGTAAGCACTTCAGTAGATCCACGCCTTGGGGTCCCATGGCCCTGGGTGAATGTCCCAGAAGAGATGGGAGTGGGCAAGCTTGGGGACAGCGGGGCGTCCAGGGGCGGGGGGTTGTCTGGCAGAGATGCGGAGGCCTGTGTGGGGGGGAGACCAGCCAGTGGGGTGCTGCCCAGCCGAGCAGGAGGGAAGGAGCAGGGCCCCAGCTCAGAGGGATGCCCAGGCCTGCAGGAGGGAGGAGAGGGCAGCAGGGCAGGGCCCCGAACCTCAGAGTGGGATCACTGACCACCATCCCCCTAGCCCCCCAACTCTCTCTCTCTCTCTCTCTCTCTCTCTCTCTCTCTCTCTCTCTTGTTCTCTCTCTCTCTGCTGGAGGCAGCAGGACCTGATGCTGTGCGGGTACCTTTGCTAACACCGTGTGCATGAGTGTATGAGTGTGAGCACGTGCAGGTGTTTGTGTGTGAGGGAGGGGCTGGTGCGGAGTCCAGCCCCGGTGAGGCAGGTGGGAGGCCGAGCAGCGGCCCCATGGGGTCTGGCTCAGGGTATGCATGCTCAACGCCGGCCGGCGAGCAGGGACAGCTGTGTCCTGCTCAGATCCGGCTCCTCACGTCAGCGCCATCCAAACCCTGGCCTCCCCATGCTCCTTGGGCACCTCATGCCCATAGAAGGGCACGCCGGCGCTGCCTGGCTGGGCACTCCTGCCTCCCTCCTTGGCCCCTCCTCCCAGCTGTCACTCAGGCTGCGGGAGGGTGGAGGGCAGGCCCCGGCAGCCTTGGCCCAGGCAGCAGCAGGGGGGCTGTGGCTGAGCCGGGGGCATCCCGGTGCCTGTCCTGGGGGCTTAGGTTGCACCCGTGGGATATTGGGCTGGAGAGCTGGCCCTCGGACCCTCGCCCCGAGCGGGTGGCACCGCAGACACCTCCCTCCTCCCTCCCCAGCCCCGTGTGGTGCGTGTGCAGCCCCGACCTTTCAGAGTGAAACTGAGACTCCGGGTGTGTCGGGTTCTCCTTTCACAAGGTGACTTAGGAACTGGGGTTTTCCTACGGGGGGGTCCCCATGCCCAGGAGAGGGTGTGCGGCCTGGGAAGCCCCTCTGGAGCCCCCACGGGCTGGGTCTGCTGGGATCTCCCCAACTTCCAAGACCTGCACACCCGTCCCATGCAGACTGTGCCCCCCCAGACTGCCTCAGGACAGGCCTCCTCCCTCAGACTGCCCTGGGGGGGCCCCATGCTGTCTTGGCCCTGGTGGCCTCTCACCCCCTTGCCATCCCAGCAAGGCCAGACACCACCTGATACAGGGCACACGGCGCAGAGCAGTCACCCTGGCAGGGGCTGCTGGGCTGGAAGAATTGAGGGCCTGGGTCCAGGGGCTCGACCCCAGTCTGAGCTGGATCAGGCATGGGGACCCCCAGGTGGGCTGCCTCGCTCCTCCCCGGTCAGGCAGGAGGTGCAGCCCAGCGGGGCTTCGGGTGCCCGTCTCCCGTGAGGCTGTGAGGTCCTGGGTCCCCCACCCTCCATCTGGATCCTCCACATTCCCCCTGGGGTGGGCGAGGGAGGGGTGGCTCAGCCCGCCCCTGCCGATTCAGCAAGTTGATTCCTTCCCTGCACCCCACCTTTTCATGGGGCCCATCTGCCTCCTTGTTCCACAGCCCTGGCCCGAGGCAGTGCTCAGAGGGTCTGGGGACCAGGCCGGGCAGACTTCTCCTGGCCTGGGGGGCATGAGGGCTGGCACAGTGCTGTCTTGTCCTCCGTGCTCGCCGCCTGCCTCTGCCTGGTTTCCCTTCGAGGGAGCCAGAGCAATGGGCCCGTGAGTGGCAGTGGGGAGAGGCCTTAGGAGCCCCCGCCAGCAGGGAGGGGGGTTGAGCCCAGGGACCCTGCTTTCCGGGCCCTGAGTGCCAAGTGCCCGCGGGAGAAGGATGGGCAGAGTGCTGGGGGCAGGACTGGCTCACAGGGTGAAGGCAGAGCCCCACACAAAGGCCTCCGTTTCCCCATCTGCACAATGGGGTTCTGGCTGATGGGCTGTGAGTGCGCTCCCCAGGCCGGGAGTCCAGGGAGGCACATCTGGACTGCCCAGCACACAGGCGGGCCATTGGCCTCGGGCCACACCGCTGTCTGGGCAGCTGGGCAGCCTCGGACTCCGGACAAGCCCCGCCGGGCCCTGGCGTGGAGAGAGCCCGGACTCCACTGCCCTGCAGCCTCTTAGGGAAGCCTGCACCCTGCGTGGGCCCCCGGTCGGGATGCTGGGGACCCAGCAAGGCCTCAGGGGTCCCTGGAGTGGCTGGGCTGTCTCCTGCAGGTGTTGGATAGCCCCACACAGTGCCACTGTGGCTCTGCACCTGCAGGTGCCCACAGGGGTGAGGGTGATGCTTCAAGGTACACACAGACTAGGGCACAGCGTGCGGGCCCCCAGGGACCTGCCCAGAAAGCAGAAATGACACGGGCCTGGTCAGAACACAACTGGCCCTCTCCAAGCCCCCCCACTCCCTGTCCCCGCCCCACTCCTCCCTGTCCCCACCCCACTCACTGCATCAGGGGTGCTCTGCCCAGGGCTTCTGAAGGCATCCTCAAGGTCAGGTGCCACCCACCTGGTGTGGCCCAGCGGACAGAGCCTCATCCTGTGGACTGAAGGGTCCGGGTTTGATTCTGGTCAAGGACATGTACCTTAGTTGCAGGTTCCCCCAGTTCTGGTCGGGGCACAGGCAGGAGGCAACCCATGGATGTGTCTCTCTCACATTGATGTTTGTCTCTGTCTCTCACTCTCCTTTCCACTCTCTCTAAAAACCAATGGGGAAATATCCTTGGGTGAGGATTAACCAAAAAGAAAAGAAAGGAAATGGGGCTTGGGATTGAAGGATCTAGCCAGTTTATTCAGAAGAATCCAGAAAGAAGCCTTCAGCCTCTCCTAGTCCCAGCCCCAACCCGAACCCCAGCACCTCACCACCTCACCACCTCCACCACCTGCCTCTGCCCTCGCCCTCTGCTGGCCTGGGGCACACAGGAGACCGACTGTCTTCCCTGGAAGTCAGAGCATCTCTCTGCCTGGGTCCCCCAGGACCAGGGAGGCCACCAGCCCTGACCCTCTCCCTTCGCCAGCCAACGGCTCTCACTGCTGTGGTACCTTGCACTGCGTTACCGCTCTGTGAGTGAGCACATGTTTGTGAGAGGGTATGGCTGTGTGTGGCGATGAGAATGTCTAAACGAGAGGACACATCTTGCTTCTCCAATCCCTGCTGAGGTTCTATTGTGGCACTCGGTCTGCTGGGCCTTAAGGGTCTGCTCTCTTATCATCTTGGGCCACAAGCTTATGAACCATGGCTCAGCCACAAAAGAAAGGAAAAAGGAAAATAAGAGACTCAGGGATGGATACAAGTATGAGTAGGTGGATGGGTGGATGAATGGATAGATGGGTAGAAAAGGGGATGAATGATGAGTGAGTGATGGATGGATAAATGGATGGATGGACACAGAATAAATGGAGGGATAGGAGAGCATATCTATGTATGTTTGGATGAATGAATGGATGGGTAGATGAATGGATACATCAATGGGTGAATGGCCAGTTGACTATATAGGAAAGCAGATGATAAATTGATGGCAGAAAGTAGTGATAAAATATATACGATTGACTTATGAAAGGAATTAAAATGGATGTATAGTATGTGACTTTGAGCAGGTTACTTAACTCTCTGCACCTCAGTTTTCTCATTAAAATAGTATACTGCCTACCCCATTGGGGTTTTATGAAGGCTATGTAATAAAGAAAAGCACTTAAAAAGTGTCTGGCACATATTCATCATAAATTTTAGCTAGTGGTGGTGGTGATGATGGTGGTAGTGATGATGGTGGTGGTGATGGTAGTGGTGATGATGATGGTGATGGTGGTAGTGGTTGTGGTTGTAGTTTTAGTAGAAGTAGCAGTATTAGGCATATGGATAGATGTTTGGCCATATGAATGGATAAATGGAATGTTGGATGTATATATAAATAGACATAGACATGGATAGATGGATAGGTGGATAGATGGATGGATAGATAGATAAGTACAGGCATAATATTTAGAATATTTAACCATATATATGACACAAATGTTAGCCTGTGAAATGGGAACTGTTTTGGACCTGTGCATATCAAGCTAATAATTAGCCTTGGATGTATGAATGAGCAGATATACCAAGAGATGGATGAATGGATGAATGAATTAGTAAATGGACAAATGGACTGGAAATAAATGGGAGATAAATGGAGGCTAGATAAGTGGGATAGATGGAGGATAAACAGATGAAATGTGAACAGATAAATAAGTGGACAGATGAATAGAAGGTTATTGGGTGACTTAGACATGTAGATGGATATGAATGATAAATGGACTTTTAGATGGAGAGATGGGCAAATACAGAAAGAGGGACAAATGGGGAGATAGTGATAGTGAGTGAATGCACATATGGCTGATGCTGGGTAAACTATTGAAGAGAGAGGGTAATGG